GTTTAGGTTTTAGGGTTTGGGGCCTATGGATAATGACCTTTTTTTGGTTCCTTAGTATAAAGTTGTGAATATGTCCCAAAACCCGGTTGAAATCATTATATTAGACCCGAAACCCTAATCCCCAGACCGTAGACCCTAGACCCTTAGCCCCAAAGACCTGAAGGCTTCTTCCTTGAACATTCAGCCACGAAGTTTGAAGCGACTTGACAAAGCCCCGGGATGCTCAGACACTCCCAAAGCAAGTATATCTCAGGAGTACAACTGGGGGCCTAAACAGACTTGCCGACAGTCTCCCTCAGGGTTCCATCCTATCATCAGCGTGCTAAGCCACGGTTTAGGGTTTTGGGTCTGTCAGTTTATCAGTGTATCAGTGTTCGATTATGTACACCCTAAACCCTAAACCCTNNACCCTAAACGCTAAACGCTAAACCCTCAGAAACAACTCGGATAAGTGAGGGCTTTTTCAATACTTGAGATCGCCTTGAAAACCTGTAGTTTAATGGCCGGGCCCTTTATTGACAGGACCCCATAGGACCCCATAAAACCTGTACCCAATCTACCCCAAACCCTAAACCCTTCTACCCTAATTTCTTGTGCTTTTCGCCCTAAACCCTTGTACCCTAATCCCCTGAACCTCATACCGTTGTGCTCTAAATGCTATACCCTAAACCCCAAACTCTAATAAACCCCGCTGACTCGCTGTTCGGTCCTGCGAGGTTTGTTCTCTACAGCCTGCCCTCCCTGAAGAGGGAGGCACAGAGAGACAGTTTAGGGCTTGGGGTTTAGGGCAGAGACAGAGAGTGTGATTGGTTTCAGGGTTTAGGGTTTAGAGTTTAGGGCTTACGCCAGAGAGAGAGTGAGACTCAGAGAGAGAGAGAGAGAGTGCATGTGTGTGGAGTTGAGGGTTCAGGGTGCTGTAGGCTCTCTGGAGTCTGCTTGTACTCCTTGCTGTTGGTTGCCTATCAGGTCCACAACCTGGAACAAGTTTCGTGTGCTCACTGCCCAACACCACCGATGAAGGGGTTCCGGTCATGGTAGTAGGGTTGAGTGTAGGGGCTAAAGGGTTTAGGGTTTAGGGGTTCAGGGTTTAGTGTAGTCCCGAATTCAGGCTTCACTAGGGTTGTTTCAGGCGGACGCAACTCTTCCGGAATGTGCAGGGTTCTCGTCATGGGCAGTCGAACTTTTGGCTTCAAGACGTGGTCCTCGGGGCAAGCTTCAGCTCCTCACATGGCTCCATCAATCCAGCAGGTCTCCCAGAATCCTCGAATCTGGGTCACTGATGCCTGGCCTTGCTGTTGAGTTGGTAACCTTTGACCCTCTTGGGGTATTAGAATCCCAGGCCCTTTTGGGGTATTAGAATCCCAATCCCAGAGTTTAGAATCCCCATCCCAAAGGCTAGAATCTCAAGGGTTAGGGCCTTTAGTTCCGCTAAAATTCTGGACAAATAAGGATGACAGTGTCTCAGCCGAGTTCCTTGAGTCCGTGGACGAGGCTTTCAAGTCTGAGAAGACGAATCTAGGACATTTTCAGGTGAGTAGTTACCGTTATAGGAGCCTTATAGAAGGTCTATATACCTTATACAAGGCTTCTAGAAGTCCTATATACCCTAAACCCCCCCACCTGTAGTTTCCTTTAAAGGAACGTCGTCGAAAAGCACAGCGGCCGAAAGATCGTGGCTCGCAACATTGACTTCGAGAAGGATGACTTATGGCAGGACCTGGTGCTTCCAAGCTATAGGGTTGAAGATACAAACCCTGCATTGCCCATCATATGGAATATACCATAACTCCCATAGTTTAGTGTCCTTGAGGTAATGCCGGATTTATATCATCAACAGTATATGTTGACACACTGTCCCGAATCAGCACATAGGCAAACCTGTTGTGAGCTTGCGGATTTGCCGGTTCATACGTCAAGCTTTGCTGCTCTTGTCATTTTTCTCGGGGAAGATGCAGTGTCTGTTGCTGGTGGTAGTGGTGATGCTGCTTGCACTGGTGCCAGTCTGGCTGGTGCGATTGCTGCTGTAGCCCGTGCTGCTGGTGCTGCACCTGTGGTACAGCAGCGGGGGAGTCTGGTTGACCGTGTTGTCATCCTTGTTGTCATTGCTTGTTGCTTGTTTTGGATGTTTCTTCTTTTCTTGTTCAACTCGTATTGTGATGTTGATGTATCATGTCCTCTTGCAGGAGCTCTTTGAAAAGATCTCGGACATTTGTGGCTTGGAGGGTGCGGTACCCCAGCACCGCAATTTCATGGTGACAGAAGTCTATGGTAGTGGCCAAGATGCTCACGTTGATCCTAGACCAGCCTTTGGAATACGGTATATTTCCCTTATTGGACTTAGGAGGATCTTAGTTTCATTTAATTCCTAGTCAAAATCCTAAAGCCTACACCCTAAATAAACCCTCAACCCTAAACCCCAAGCCCTAAGACCCTAAGACCCTAAACCTAAAGCCCAAAAAAAGCCCTCCGAGGATCACGCCAACGTGGATGACGTAGCCGCCGGAGATCCAATTGATTTTCTGGACATGACGAGGCAAAGTCCTTCCCGGTCCGACCCGCGGAGACTAGGCCGTGTTTAGGGTTTAGGGATGTTTGGGGTTTAGGGTTTAGGGTTTAGGGTTCAGGGCAGAATGAATTAGAAGTTGTATTCCATCGTTGTAAACGTCCTTCAAGAACAAGCCAGGAGAGTCGTCCCAACCATCTCCATCATCGTGTACTTTAATTCTGTCGGTGGAATTCGATTTCCGTATGCCGACGGAATGCAAACAATTGCGGGCAAGCGTGGGCGAATGATCTTCTTCGAGAACTATGACGATGGTGCCAGGCCCATGCACGCGACATCGGCTACGCACTATGGTATTTACTTTGAGCAAGTGCCGAAGCGTATTTTAGTCATGGGCGTGTTGGCAAACAAGACGCCTTCCATGGACAGAAGTGCAGAGCCTACCAAAGGGTTGATCTACTGTGCTGGTACAGAGAGGGACCCTCTCTTCCACGACAACCCTTCGTACGACCAGTACAACGCCGTCAGATGGAAGGCCATGGACGCGGCTGCTAAGCCTGATCTGATCGTTTCACTGGATGTGAGTTGTTCGAAGGGAGATTGCGCAGTCTTGGGGCGAAACCTTGCCGGGGAAGAGGTCTTCAACACACAGTGCAGCAAGGACACGAGCTTGAAATTCCTCATGGACCAGATCAAAGTGAAGGTGGATCCTGGCGACGCCCGCAAGGTGATTCTATGTCGAATGGACGGGCAACTCTTGACCGAAGAGCACATGAGCCAGAAACTTGATGAGTGCTTCAAGGACCTCATGGAGGGAAAAAGTCGCATGACAGCCTCAACATGCTTCGGACTCTGTGGGTCATCAACCTCGCCGTAGTCTGCAGAGAAGTAGACCCTACAAATCCCAAGGGCCTGCAGCGAAAGGGCTGCAGGACCGGTTGGGTTCAGAGCTTTACTCTGCGATGCAGCTTTGTCTGGTCTCGGCGAGAAAGTTTAAAAAATCGTTGCTCGGCTGGGAATCAATGCGCTTTTGTCCAACGTCTCTGTTGCGCCGCCAGCACGTCTCCTGTGCTTAGGTGCCTGAATCTTTTCTGACAGTATTCCCTAAGTCCCCATATAACTCTACGACAATACCTGCCAATACTGTGGTTAGTGTAGAATTTGGTAATCTCCATATAGCCACAGTATACTGATATCTTCCAATGCTATAAGTAGCATTAAATTTGTAATAGTATTCCTGTGTAGTCCCTATAGAATCCTACTGATACTGTTCATGGACAAAGCTCTGCATGACCCAAATCTAGTATAGTACCATAAATCCTATAGTTTAGGTATATAAGGTCATGCAGATCTCCTTGCCTTACAAGAAACGAAAATGAACAGCAGTTCAGAGGAACAAAAGCGTCATGACGAATCAGGAAAACAATACTTATTTTTCTTCAGTTCAAATGCACAACACGACGCCACACCCAGAGTGCAGCAACGCCGCGGTAAAGCCAAGGCACAAGCTGCACGTCGCGCGATGGAACACCATGGGGTGGGTTTTGTTATTGGCCCCAGACTAATCAACTGCATGAAGGATTGCACCCCTCATGGCAGTAGACTGATAGAAATCAAATTGCGCAATCATGGACCCGACATTTGCGTAATCAACCACTACGCTCCACATAGCGGCAGACCTCTCGATGAGAAGACGCAGCATTGTGATACTCTACAGCAGGTAGTACACGCTCGCAGTCAAACAATACCGGCATTTATTGTGGGTGATACGAACGCAAGGTTGCACGGTAGCACATGCGCGGCAGAAGATGAAATAATGGGTAGGCATGTTTTTGGATATGGCCCACAGCATGTCCGTACTCTAGTAGAAAGCCAAAGAGACAATCGCCAGTGTCTGGTTGACTTTTGCATCGCAAACCAGTTTGTAGTCTCCAATACCTTGTTTGCTAAACCAGAGTGCAAGAAGTGTACATACAAAGATGTTGCCACAAATGGTTTCACAGGCCCGTGGACACCGGACAGATTTGCCCAGCTAGATTTGATTTTAACACCGAAGGCATACAAAAACTGTGTGAAAGATGTTGAAGCGAGAACTGATATTGCGATAAACAGTGATCACGCCATGGTCGCGGCATCGATACAAGTAAAGCTCAAGGCGAACAGCCCATCAAAAATCAAGACAGTGCAACGTTACTATACACCTACTGAACAAGAAAAGCAAAGATACAACGATCACATACGAAATATCTTCAATTTGGAACATAACCGCCAGGGACAGATTCATGATTGCTCCAAATTCGTATTCTCCATGAAGATAGCGGCTTCGTATTTTTTCAAGAAGAAAGACAAAATGACAGTAAAACCATACATCAGTGCAGAAACATGGCGACTCATAGAGGATAGACAAGTAGCACGAAATCATGGACGAACCGAGGAAGAGAAGACTATTAATCGAGAAATCGTGAAGCAAGCACGGTGTGACAAACAGAAATGGACCTTGGAGCGACTACAAGATCTAACAGACGTAAGAACAAGTTGGCGCAACATTAAGTTCGAGAAGAAAGCCTTCACGCCGAATCGTTACAATATGAATGACATTCACGGTAACCGCGTCCCAATCAACAAAAAAGCGCATGCCCTAGCGCAGTATCTTTACGAAAAACCGTGGATGCCTATACCCAACCCGACACCTGTGGAAGAACATCGACGGCAGATTATTCAAACAAACTTAAAAATGACAACCACGGACTTTTCGACTGATGAGGTTAGCGCTGCCATACGGTCATTAAAGACCATCAAAGCCCCGGGGCCTGATGGTGCAACCACAGAATTGTTCAAATATCTTGATGCGGAAAATGTTGAGAGCCTCACAAACTGTTTGAATTCCCTCTGGGCTTCGAAGTATGTTCCAGATGATTTCGCCGCAGCACAGATAGCCTCCATATACAAGAAAGGGAACCACGATAATCCTGAAAACTATCGACCCATATCATTGTTAAATCCAACATACAAAATTTATGCATACATGCTGAAGACACGCATAGCAGATGCCGTTGACTCAAAGATTTGGAATACACAGTTCGGATTCAGGAAGGAGAAATCCACGGCAGAAGCTTTGTTTTGTGTCAGGAGATTAACGGACGTCGTTGAACAAGGGCATGAACAACTATTCTTAGTCTTTCTTGATTGGGAAAAAGCTTTCGACAAGATCGACCATGCAAAAATGTTTCAATCGCTCAAGCGACTCAACATACCCGATGAAATCCTAGACGCCATCAAGTCATTCTATCGAATGCCACTGTTCCAGGTCACCCATAAAACACAACAAAGTGATTGGCATACCCAACGTACGGGCATCCGTCAAGGATGCCCCTTAAGCCCATATCTATTCATTTCTACGAACATGGAAAAGGCATGGAACGTCATAAAAAATCATGACGGAACAACTCCTGATTTGCCTTTCAATAAGCACGACAGAAATATGAGAGAAAAAATGATTGATCACGCGCGAAGATACCTCCCGCCGTTCAACTAGGAAATCACTCGGACGGCAGTTTCGCTTAATGTAAACCAACTCAGTGTGAAGCAGCTCAATGTGAAGCAACTCAGTGTGAAGCACCACTTTTGTGAAGCAGCGTGGACGCATTAAAGATACAACAACCAGATAATTGAAACATGAAGTCTCAATGTGAACTGCTCGGTGTGAATCGGCTCAGTGTGAAGAGGGCTGTGTTATCGATAAGGATTACAGAATGGAAGATCATATTGTTCAGTGATCATATAAATATTGACGCGGAGTGAGCTGTAGCATGAATAAGGAAGTAGGTTAGCACCGACGACTTGCGCACTCATCTAGCTGCAAGTTAAGGTTAAAAAAAAGGTCATGCAGGATTTTGTCCACCAACCGTATGTCCCCAGCACCCTATTCCCATTGTGAAGGTCCCTTCAATACTCCCCTTATGGCTCTTCATTTTACCCGTAAAGGAACGCTACCTTCTAGTCCTTAAAGCCCTATTCAGAAACCCTGCGTAAACCCCACCCAAACCCTCCCAAACCTTAAAACCCAAAAAATCCCGACCACTCCCAAAAACTCCCAAAAATCCCTGGCCCTAAACCCCTTAAAGCCAACCCTAAACCCTAAACCCTAAACCCTAAACAGCGCTCTGCGCATCCCAGACTCAGAGCGGAAAGGCTACTGCGAGGCTTCCCGGCCCCTGGGTCCGAAAAGCGCCCAGATATTGGGTTTAGGGTTTAGGGTTTAGAGTTTAGGGTTTAGGGTTTAGGGTTGTTTAGAGGGCAAACCTAAACCCTAAACCCTAAACCCTAAACCCTAAACCCTAAACCCTAAACTTTGAAGCCTGAAACCTAAACCCTAAAGCCCTAAACCCTAAATACTAAACCGAAACCATAAAGCCATAAACCCTAAAGCCCTAAAGCCCTAAGCCGGGGAAGGTGGGATCCCGGGCTCCAGTCCCGGACTTCGAGCAGAACCGTGAGAACTGGTTCAGGCTCACCGGGTTTAGGGTTTAGGGTTTCGGGTTTAGGGTTCAGGTTCACCAGAAAACAATGGGTTTCTTATCAGGTCTTAGGGTTTAGGGTTTAGGGGTTTAAAATTTAGGGTTCAGGGTTTAGGGTTTAGGGTTTCCGGTTTAGGGTTTAGGGTTTAGGGGTTTAGGGTTTGGGGTTCAGGCTCACCAGAAAATTTAGGGGTTTAGGGTTTGGGGTTTAGGGTTTAGGGTTTGGGGTTTAGGGTTTAGGGTTTAGTGGTCTAGGTTTAGGGTTCAGGCTCACCAGAAAACCAGGGATTTCTAATCAGGGCTTTGGGCATAGTTTTAGGGTTTAGGGGTTTAGGGTTTAGGTTTGAGGCTCACCAGAAACAATGTGTTTCTCATCAGGGTTTAGGGTTGAAGGTCTAGGAGGATTGTGTAATTGTCTGTCTTGTCGGGGTTCTGTAAGATTCTATTCGGGTTCTACACTTGTAAGAGTATGAGTGTCTGCAAAAGTTCTACAGGTGCTCTGCAAGGGCTTGAAGGTTTAGGGCTTTAGGGTTTAGAGCTTTTCAGGGCCCTAAACCCTAAACCCACCTCGAAAGCCCAAAAGCATCGAATTAAGGAATGTTCTTGAAACGCACTAAGGATCCCTCTGTCTTTTTTTGAGGCCTATTCCCTAGAGAAGGGCTGTCGGACCCACATCGGAAGCCCAAAAGCATCGAATTAAGGAATGTGCTTGAAACGCACTAAGGATCCCTCTGTCTTGTTTCTGAGCCCTATTCCCCAGAGAAGGGCTGTCGGATTTTGCTGTGGGGCGTAGTTGATCTAAGATTCTGGATTCCAGGCCAAATCGGAGTTAGTACAAGACCAGGGTCAGAAGAATTAAAAATCGTATTCCTTAGGGTTCCTGGTTATATCCATGCGACAACGTACCTCAAAACCCTATTCTTCTCTGTACGGCCTCTACATTAAGGTCTAAGTTTTGTGGTTTGGAGGTTTAAGGGTTTAGGGTTTTTGGCAGCTTCCCCAATACCTCACCAATCTAACCCTTAAGCCTTACACGCCGAAGCCTACTAAGCCCTTAAGCCTCAGCCCCTGAACCCCTAGAACCTGAACCCCAAAAAAACTTAAACCCCTCAACTCTAAAGCCTAAACCCTAAACCCTAAACCCTAAACCCTAAACCCTAAACCTTAAACCCTAAACCCTAAACACCAAACCCTGTATTGGCTTGTCACTTCGGCCTTGTCCCCAGAGAACCCAATTAAGGAATATACCTTAAATCATAATATTAAGGCCCCTATAAATTAAGGTATATTCCTTAATTAAGGGGTATTGGGTTCTCTCGGTTCTTACTCCTGAACCTGAGTGAATGCTCACTCCCGATCC